GATGGACTAACCTAGAAACAATGGCCTCGAACCTAATAGCGATGACCCTGGTGATCTGAAGTGATCCCCTTCATCCGCTGTGATGCGTTGCCAGTCATGCGACCGATCGATGATGTTCAGTGCACCCGGGCGCACTGAGTTCTCCGGTGTTCAACAAACGACATGGAGCAGGAAGCTTCCTTTGGGAATCGTTTCACCTCAGGTGAAATAGTGAGCTCAACCACATGCTTGAGCTCACTTTTTCACATGCTTTTTCGCAGGAAGCTTCCTGCTCCGAGTCGTTTCGTGAACAATCGGAACGGAGACAGACCGGCCATCGCGGGCGAATATCACACCCATCGTCTTTGTTCTGTGCTTGAGGAGCCAGGAAAAAAAGCATGCACCTGAAGCATCCTTAAGCAAAACCAGCTTTTTAAGGTTTTACAGCTGTTGCGCACCCCCTCCTGCCCTCACTGCTGCTTCAGGGCACGTGCTGAGGAATGCCCCAAACCCGCTCAAGGATCACGGCCGAGCCGGCCAGCATGAAGAGCAACCTCGGACAGCGGCGGAAAGCGGCCAGGGATGTGGAGAATGCCGTCGTTTCTGCTCGTTCTACGCCGCTTTTTGGATCGAAGAAAATTCCAGCAGGGTCGGTATCGATCGAAAACGTCCAGATGGAACATGGCTACCGTCGGCCAACGATCGCAGTCGAGCCGATCGCCGGATCATGGATCAAGGCCGACTGGACTGGCTCTGGTCCCAGTGCGTGGGTTTCACGAGGCTCTCATCCAGAAAACGGCAAGCGGTTGTGTTTGAAGGGTTTGCAAGACCCGGAATATCGTGGAATGTCCATGTCCGCGAGTTTGTAGACTCCTCTTGCTGGAACAAAGGTTCAAAATGATCAAAAAGGCCTCTGGGCCTCTGGGCCTGTCGCCCGGTCCAACTACTCGGCCAGGGACCTGCTTTGAGCCTAGGCACAGTAAGGTTCCAATGATCCCAAACGCCACAGCAATCCGAATGCCATTGGAGACATCAACAGAAGGATCAACATCCTACGAGACAGAAGGATCGAGGGGCTGGATCTTGGTATCTTCTGAATTCCAGCGATGGCACTTCTATAAAATTGGGCCCAGCCCACCATCCGGAACACCATCTTAAAATATCTATAGAATGTGTCTCGCGCGCTTTGAGGGCCAACATGAGACGAGGCATCCCCTCTTTTACATGAACACGACTGGAACTTGTGGCGGAAAGTAAAGGCAACCTACTGTATTCAGGAGAAAAGACATGGCAAACTCCTGAGATTGCCTTCACACCGTGGGACTACGCAGTTCGAGGCAAAGGTCCAGCAACCCTCAGAACAGACTATGCCTGCTCAAAGTTGATCGCATGAGATGGGGCTTCCAGAGGGAAGCTCTGAAGCCACGTTCACGAGCCCATGTTCTTGCTCCTGGAGGCAGGACCCCAACAAGATCACCAACAGTCCACTCGCAATCGAATCCGCCAAGTTGAGGATTGGAGCCTGATGGCGGCGGCGGCGTTCTGGGAGGGTCCGTCTTGAGCACTAAAGGGGCTCAAAGGCATTTGGAACAGCTGAACAGTATCGGGTCTTTGCCAAGACTCTGTTGTATTTGTGCCCATGAACCGTGAGCAACTAACAGCTACTGCATCCATGGAAAGGAAGAGTGGGATCATCTGAAGATCATAAACTGTTTTCTTTGCAGCCTCAACTCGGCTTGGGCATGCTTGGCTCATCATGCTGAACTTCCTGCACAAAGAAGGCCTTGTTCACAAGTCCAGGAAGCTTTCCAAGGCAAAAAACACAGCAGAAGGCCAAAGTAGAGATGCTGGACCGACAGCATCAGCATCACCAGTAAACTCGGAGTGTTTGCGGCAATGACTGCCGGCAAACTGACCTCGGCATACTGGAGCTGATACCCATGGTCAGAGAAGAGGAAGGTAATTCAAGACTTTAAGATCATCTACCAAGCGAGAAACCTCTTGCAACCAACACAATCCGGAAACCACATCACTATCGCTTCCGTCACCTTGTTTTGAAGGGACGTCTGGGGTGGCTTCCCTCCCAAAAACAAGTTTGCAGGTGAAACGGCCTTTTGGATGACCTAGTTTTCTCTACACTCCAGGAATTGTTCTTGAATCCACTTCCATGATACTGTACCTTTTTGGGGGGTGAGGTCTCGCTACGTCCTCCGTCGACCCCACCCGGCTCCATGGCTTTGGGGCCGAGCAACTGCGGTGCCCCTGGCGAGAAGAACCAAGCCGAACCACCAGGCCTCAGGCCTCAATGAAGGACACCACGAACGGAGAACTCTCTTCGAAGCGAAGGGAACACCGGAAGAATCCCCCTTCAAAAACAACCGCCTCATGCTTCCCATCCAGTTTGTGGCCCTTGGGATTCTCCGCCTGAAACGATTGATGAGAAAGTTCAACTTCGCCAGCTCGTTCCTTCCGGAGTAGGCCGGCGCCTTGACGACGCCCCACATGCCTCGGCCCGGAACGCGCGCAGGAACGGTCGGAACGGTCGGATGGCACCAACCGAAGAGCAAGGGCCTCCACCCCAATAGCAATGGCACCCAACCTAGTAGCACTGGCCTCCAAATTCATAGCGATGGCCTCCAACCTAATGGCACTGGCCTCCAACCTCCAACCTAATAGCAATGGACACAAACACAAGACTTTTCAGGATGTTGTTCTCGGTGGCTCAGGTCCTTCTTGCTGTGCGAACGATGTGTCTCAATCACTCTCGTGGCAGACGCGTCTTCACTCCGTCTCACTCGGCCAAAGCGGCAGTAGGCGCAGAACAAACACACCACCACCATAACCAAAGCGCCCAGGACCTGCCAAGACCCGTTACGCATTTCGGCCAACCAAGACCAAGTGATCCCTAGAGTTCCCTCCGGTCGTGCCTGCATGGATTGGTGTTCGCCGCTGCCACAAAGGATGTTGGGAAACTTGAGGACGGACAGGTCACTGCTCGGGTGCTCGTAGCCTGCGCTCAAACATGCGAGCCGTGCTCCCCGACTGCCCTTCCGTGCGTGAGTGCTACGCTTGGTACGCTCGGAGTGAAGCCCAAAGAGTTGGGAGGCGGGCATCGGATAATGGGGTGAACAAGAGTGAAGATGTCGTATGATGAGTAGGAATTGGATCCTTTTGCCAAGTCAAGATGGTTTCCCAGGCAAAAACCTTACAAAACCTTGGATGTTCAATGATTACCCGAATCCTGGAGCTGCAATCATAGACGTCGTGGCTGCGCTGTACAGTCGAACGAGCACGGGGGTGTGCACTGTCTCAATGAGCATGTGTCCCACAGACCAGTTTTCGTCCAGCTCGGAGCAGAACCAGCATGGTAAAACCCAGTCAAACCACCCCAAACCTGCTGACCGAGGCACACATAAAGGGAATCAAGCCCAAGCTGGCCTCGGCTGACAAAAAACGAAGTTTTTGCTGGATATATTCTGTGTTCCTTTTCGGTGTCTTCCCCAGGCACACTCACAAGCTAAATTGACAAGTTCACCCGCCCATGATCAAACAAAGAAAAATTGCGGACCGTTTTACCTCGAGCTCAACAGGGGCCTCCGGTATGTGTGCATGATCTGTACTGCTCAAGTTTGTCACTCTCCTCGAGGCTGCTAATGACCTGTGAAACTGAAGCTTGGCTGGATGGAGCGGTCGTCTGAGTTCCTGGTGCTTCCACTTGGCGAATCCTCCAAATCTTTGCATACTTCTGAATCTGAACTGTTCTTGCCCTTTCCCTTGAAGTCCTTTCCACCTTTGCCCTTCTGATCGCTCTTGCCACCAGTGGTTTGCTTGCCGCCTTTTCCAGTCGTTTCCCTTGGCCTTACCTTTGCCCTTACTGCAGCCTGTCGATCTCCAAAGGCATCACACCATTTGGATCTATCGACTGAGCGCAGCACTCTCGTTCCACTTGGTGTTGGCGGTGTCGTAGGCCAGCGCTGTCTCTCTGATCTTCTGGTAAGAACTGTTCTGATTGAGAGTCAGATTGAGGTGGTCTTCAAAGGTCCTCCAATCGACTTCAGAAGCGCTGCCACCTGCCAACTTTCCTCCAAGTCTCTCATACTGGTTGAAGTGCTCCTCCAGCTTGAGCAACTGCGGAAGGATGGACAGCTTCATGTTGAACCGTGGATAGGCCACTATGCCTTGTAGGAGGTTTATGGTCCGGTTTCGAGCCTGCGGTTGACAGTTGATCAAGAGCTGTCTGAGTGCTTCATGGCCAATTTTGTTGTCCACATTCTTGATGATGCCAACAAGCCGCCCCTGAATCAAACTGCCAAGCAATGAATAGAGAAACCTCGATCGCTCTTGTTCCTTGCTGTCCATGAGTCCATGAGCTCCCAATCCACCTCAGCTGACAAATTGTCCTCCAACTTCGTCAAATCATCTTGGAGACTGCCATCAACCATTACAAAATACTGCCGAAGACTCCAGTATACCAGTCTCTCCATTGCAAAATCTCTTGTTCTCTGTCCCCAGGATGGAATATGGCAGGTCGTGGTAACAACTGGACAAATCCTTCTTCCCTTGCAAGGATCCTTCACCACTGCTTTGTCCTGCAGTGGCCGCTTGTGCAGCCTGAGTTGCTTGAGCGAGCCAGTTCTGCAGTTGCCAGTCCTGCAAAACCAGCACCTGCAGGCCCGTCCATTCTCAATCTCCACACTCGTCTGTCCTTCTAGGGCCAAGGGCTTTGAGATCTCGTCGAACTCAAGGAGTGGTCACCTGTGAGCTTGTTCACAGCGCTGTTCAACTCCAGGATATAGCAAGGGCAAGGATCACCTTCAAGTACCCTCAAGCTTTGATTGCGAGCTCAAGCAACACTGGTTTATGCTTGTTCGGCGGGGTCGAAGCGAAACCCTGGGGCCCGAGTCTAGTGCGGTCTGGGTCCTGCCGCAAAGGTCCGCTGGAGCTCGGGTCAGATGTCGCCAAATGACCCTCACGGCTCCGCTACCATGCGGACCGTTTTACATCGAGCTCAAAGGGCCTCCGGTATGTGTGCATGATCTGTACTGCTCAAGTTTGTCAAAAATCTATATGTGTTTTCCACCAAAAGATCTATATAATTTCCCTTGCAAGTTTGTGGTCATCTCCAAAAACCTGTCTCATTGAGACCTGCATAGAAGGGAGTGCTTTGTAGAAACACACAGTGGGCCTGTCACTCCCCAAAATTGATCTGCTTGGTTCATTTGATGCGCTCTATCCATTCAAGCGGCTAAAGTTGTGAAAGCTACTTGCATGAAGTTCGCGGACATGCTGAGAACTTTCTCCGTCTTCCTGACGAGTGCCATGATATGTTCTGTGCGTTCAGCGTGAAAAGATCTGAGACGTACCCGCCCGTTGGGTTCGGACTGCACTTTCAATGGAAGTATGGGGTATTGTGGAAAGGAATGGAAACGAGTTTAGGCTGTTCGTTGGAAGATCAATTCGTTGGCCAATGACTTCTTCTGCCACGTCTCCAGGCCAGCTCGCGGCGTCTCACCCATGGGATGACATTGCTCAACACTGCCAGGATTGGCAGGATGCTCAGAACCACCACAATAGCCACCAGCCTCATGATGTAGTTGGGCATACTGCCTGGCTTGTCAGAAGGCGGCCTCCCACTGATACATCTTCAAATCCACTGCGGGCGGGTCTGCATTTGTACAACCAACAAGTTTGGACCATCCAATGGGTGTCCAAAGGAGATCCCTAAAAGCGTAGGGTAGTCCATTGGATCTAGAACAAATACCTCGGAACGGCTGAACGGCTTGACACGATCTACTCGTTGAATCCTGACGCCCGCAAAGACCCAAATCACGACGGAATCGCGCCTGGCGCCACGCAATTGATGCCAACGGAATCCAGATCCAAAAGCACCACGGACCCGGCACTGAACATGGGCCTTTCGGGATCGCGATCGAAGGAAGGTCGACGCCCGGGTGTTGGACTCGGAAAACCGCCCCAAGACCCCGAACCTGGCGTTGCGACAGGTTGGTCAAGAAAGTTCACCCCCTGTAGATTCATATAGGAATCAATGGACCTTGATAGACCTTGCAACCCGGACTGAACAGGCGCTCCCGTGCTCTCTTCCAAGCTGCGTGGTGGACGCTGGCCACTGGATGGAGACGGTGCCTAACACGCCGATGTTCTGCAACAAGGCAACCTTGGGCTCCACATATCAGACAGCGAGTGCCCGTGGCCGAAGAAGTTCTTTACTTGCAGCAAGTTCCAACCTTCGAGAACTGAGGAACAAGGAAACAGCTTCACCAGTTCTCGATGAGTATGTTGTACCACTGCCTTGCTTGAATCAACCAGAAGACCTTACATCTGTGACATTGTAAATCTCTAGGACTTTCAGAATGGCCTAACTTGTGTTGGTTCTGCTCAACTTGCGTCGGTTTGTTCTGGTGGACCATGTCATCCCCCTGCCACCTGCGTCCCTTTTGTGCACTAGCTCCCCCATGTGAACGCAGCGTCATCCCGTTGTCGAACGCAACAAAACCTTGAGTGGGCCGTCTGGGCCTGTCAGGCAATGTTGAAGGGTGATGTTGCATTGCCTGTTGAAGCGCTTCAGTGGTAGAAAGGTTTGCTTTCCAAAGATTTTTGTGGCGCAGTTCCCCATGTCAACGCAAGGGGTGTTGATGGACTACTGCAACTGCACTCTTTGCCATTATCATTTGTCAAGAGACAATTTTGTCATTTGCCTGTATCCCCAGCCCACATTATGCGCCGAGAAGCTACGCCGAGCTGTTCTGTCCACTCTTTGCGAAAAAGGAGTGCCAAGGGGCCCTGAGAAACCTTCTTGGGGCTCTCTCGGCTTTCTTTAAGACTACTGTTTGGTTGGGACACGGGCTGACGATCATCGCAAACAGAAACATCCAGTGAGGGAAACAAAAACAACAAGCCGGAAACTATATTGAAAGCATATGGGAGGCAATATGAGGCAATATGTTCCTTGATTTCGTTCTCTGAGTCTGTACATCTGGATAAACGGCGTTCCTAAGATCGAGGCCTTTGATGTGGTGCTGCGCGCATGTGTCTCGAGTCACAAGAACGGCAAACGTCTGACCACCAGAAACGGCTCCTTCTTTCTCCCGCCATCCCCACACCCCTCCTGTGCCACCATGGCACAGCAATGCCAACACTGCCAATGCAGCAGAAGGTGGCCGATGCTCTCGGCTCATACCTGTCACATCTGACCGAGAGCTGTGAGAGACGGCCGGGCAATAGGTGGGCCTTGCTCCCACTTCTTGCAGAGAAGGGTTCTCTATTCCTTCTACATCCCATCACAGGCCCAAGGGCCCACCCGGGCCCAAGGCCTATCCACACGCCCCAGCCCCTGATGTTGGTCGTCCTTCTCCGAAGGATCCGACGACACAGAGACGGACCAAGCTTCGACGACCCGCAACGACGCACGCGACGACGCACCAACTCCCGGTCTGCGGCCTGGATGGTGCGAGGTAATAGCCCACGGCGCACCCCAAGATGAAGAGCACCAGAAGGACGCTGCCGATGGCCTAGACATGGCCAGAGCATGTTTCACACTGATCCTGGAGAGATCACGAGCCGCTGGAACAGGAGAGTTGCTGATGAACTGGGCCACTGGGGCTGCTTGAATGGCCGGAGATGGTCCCCAAAAGGGTGAAACAGGGTGCTCCATGGTGGGCAGTGGGTCTGCTTTAATGGCCGCAGCTGGTGGCAGCTCCCAAAGAGGTTGGTTTGACTTGATGAGGACAGCTCGGATGCAGCACTGTTGCAAACGAGAAGAACTGATGAAGTTAGATCCTCGAAATTCTCTGCAAACTACACACCAGCAACATCTGTGAGAAGACCTATGATTCCAAGCCTGTTCATACTCTGATTCTCTCCTGCTAGCTGTTTAAGCATACGTATTTATTTCGAGTTCTTCCGAATGATACACCCCTTACGATGGTTTTGGTGTGTGAAACCGTTGATTCATTCCACGCTCAACTTTGGAAGGACTGAGACAAACTCAGCATCAGCTGGTTTCAGAACAGTGCCCCTTCTGCTGGTTCCCAGTTGTTATGAGAGCACGGCATCGGAGCTTCTCCTCCAAACCATCCAAATAACATCCAGTAACAATCCTCGCAGCACCAACAAGCTGAAGTCGACCACTGAACCCCTCTCCTTCACAAGCTGCGTCTCTGCCGGGCACTCTGCACAAACAATACCTTGCCGGCCACCAAAGCCTCAGGTCCGTGACATTGCAAAACTCGGATGGCTAGAAATGGTCCCCAAATAGATAGAAAAGTAGATCCCCACTAAACGCTAAACATGTATTGGAAATCGTGCCACTATCTATTTGGGGATCACTATAGAGCCATCACACAACTCTAAGCTGCGAAACCGACCTGTGCTCAGAGTGTCACTTCAACCAAATTGGCTGCAAGGTAGGAACTTCAACCAAACTGGCTGCAGGTTGGGAATTTGTCCAAAATTCAAAAGCTCCTCAAAGGACTGCAATGCTGCAAGTGCCACTAATTGAACAAAGAACAGAGTTCATGCACATTCCAAAAATGTCCATAAGACTGTTCCACAAGTACTCCAGAATCTAGCAATACCTGGGAATGCAAGAAGTGCGTGTGCAATTGGTCACAGAAATAGCTCAAGCTTCAGGTGGCACAGTGGCACCACAAGCACTAACGAAAAAAAAAAAAAGAGCACCCGAAAGCCTTGCCCAGGCAATTCCGCTGTTGGCAGATTCATTGCGCAGCGAGGTGCTGCGAGACATCATTGCACAGCGGTGCGGTGTGTAGCATGTACAAAGGCGAATGGGAGGCTTGGGAACCTTGCGAATGGGAACCTGAGGAATGGGAACCTTGCTTGAAGCTAGCGAATGGGAAACCCAAACCTGGGAACCTTTCGACCTGAACCAGTTCGCTCCCTCACCACGCATACCGACCAGTTCGCCGACCCCCCCCCACAGCACTGAGCATCACCCCATCCACCGGTTCTCAACGGAAATCTGGCCGCGGAGCACGAGCCCGGCGCGCCACCGGGACAAGCCGAGCCCCGGCAGCGAAAGGTCTGCAGCGGCGAGGACCAATGGCTCACAAAGCCTGGTTCCTTGGTGGGTTCCATCTGGAGATGCTCTTGGACAGTGGAGTGGGTTGGGGCGTAGGTTTTAAGTTTTGATGGTTTGGGAGTACACCCTACCGCATGTCCTCTCATTTTAGGGTGCTCTTGAGAAGGGCCCCATAGTTCCCTTCTCCTTTCAAAGAGAGGAACAAGAATTCAATGGATGAGGACAGTTAGCAAAGGCCAACCAACCGAGAATAGTAAGAATCTGAACCGACTGCTGCTGAATCATGGTGAATCGAAAACTTCGTAGCTCAAGTTGCTCAGGTAGATGTACATACAGTGGGGCCCCTTTTACCTCGAAGGGTTGCATGTTACATGGTCGCACCAATGGCACCCTGGTGCCCTGCCACATAAGTTTCCATGTTGCCATCAGCTCATGATGATGACTACGTCGCCGGAACTTTGGTGGAAATGAGTTATAGTAGAAGTGAAATGCGAACGAAAAGGATTTGAACATTTGAAAGGCCTAGAAGCAAATCAAACAACACTAAAGCGATGATCGGAGTCAATTTGAAAAAATACCATAGGATCATGCAAGTTAGCGGTCTGATGCGGTCTGGGCCCACTGGGTCCTGTACAACTCTCGCCTCAAACCTTGGATGGCAACGTCCAAAAGAGCTACCAGTTGGGCTCAACTGCTGTCCAAAGGGGCCATGCACCCGTGAAATTGCAGGCCCCTCATCCCTTGGAAAGTAATCCATGACAAAGCCCTTTCTTCAGCAAAGCCTCAACACGAGGGAGATTGGGATCGGACTCACTATTGCTTTTCAGATCCTGCCGGACGTCGAATCACTCCAAAGGCCTTTCAAGTTCCAACACCATCCTTGATCGGCATGAATGCCTTGTGGGTATATGTATAGATCGTGTACATGTGGGTTGTTCAAAAGACATGTCATTGATGTCATGTCTACCTGTTGAAAGCTTCATCAGGAACTCAATATTTTGCAGAACGACGGTCCTCCAACTGACTCCCCAGCGGACATGCGATGCCAGTGCCGCACGGCACGCACTGACCCTCCTCTTCAATCGAGCCTGCCTGGCAAGTCGGTCTGATGCTTTCCCGATGAAGCAGATGAGGTCAACGCCCAGGGTACTTTCCAAGTTCTCTTTAAGTATGTAAATAATGCTTGTCAGGAAGATGCCTTCTCGTGACTCTTGCTAGCTTGCTGACAGAAGTATTTTTGTCAGACCAAATACGTCCCTTTTGATGTCAAAATCGAGGAAAAGACTGGAAAAACGCTTGGCCATTCATCTGGTGGCCGACCACCTTTTGACCGCTCGCCTGGCAAACGCAGTCTTTCAATCCGGTGGCCCCCAGCAGCTTTGTGGTGCGCCCAGCAGGGCATGCTTTGCACATTGAGTGGCCCACAGAGTCTTGGTAAAAGCCCTGCCCGCAAGGCTCGCACATGATGCTGCCCCAGGCATCACTCATCATGCCTGGAATCAAAGGGCAGCAAAACTGGTCTGGGCTTAAACAGGTCTGCGTGCACAGTAAGCCAGCCTTTTGAGGTACAAGTAATTAGCTGCGGGTTGGAATATTTTCAGCCACACCAATGTCTTCACAGTTATGTTCTGGGGTGATTCTATGAATCAGTACGTTGATCTCGAGTGGTTCTGATGTGAACGGGAGCCTGCTTCCAAGTACACGTTTCCATCATGACGTCTCAGGAATTTGAGAGGCTCAAGACCAGCCATCCCACCTTTCGCATGATATCCTCAACCATATGGCGTCTCGGATGTTTGACGTTTGTGGTTCCCAAGCACGGCCTACAGGAGATGGGGACAAAAAGACTGGACAGAGGCCGTATTAGAGCAGGGCTCTGGTAGACGGTGAGACTGTTGACTGCTCGTGACTGCTGATTTGTGATCTGCGGCCTGCGCTCCCAACACACCTGACACCTGGCAGATTGCCCTTTGCAGAAGGTTGAGAAAGGTCCCCTCAAGCAGCATTATGATTCTAGAACTGGAATCAGACGGGGATCCCAAAAAAATACCATGCTTGGACCCACTGCAACTCATCATGTCTTCTCCACAAAGCCCCCTGCCTTTGGGGCACTTCTCGCACGAAGTAGAGAAGCTTTGGGCTTGGCTCTCCCCTCGGTCAAAGAAAGCAAACATGATAAACCCACCACCATAACCTCACAATCCATGCTGCCATTGCTCATAGACTGATCTGAATGAATCAGTTCTGAACAGGGTTGCCATATAACGAAGTGATTCTCTGACCAAAAGACATCCACATTGGACCACAGGAGCCAACGATGCGCGTTCGATCGTCAAAAACGGAAGGGTTCCTGACATCATCTTTTTTTCCCCAAGCAAATACATGGTGGCAGTATGGTGCAACCCTAAAGAAGGCGCACCATACTGCAAGATGTTACTTAGCAAGATCTTACTTCCTCTTGCACCTTCTCAATCAGTTGCCAAGAGCACTTAAGTGGATCAAAGCAGGTCGGTTTACCATGAACAGCCTACTTGCCAGGCGGTTAGGGGGGAAGGTTGGTTTTGACCTTCCACCATCGTGCACCCCTCCATCTTCCATCCCGTTGGTGCTGCCCAGGGCTCCAGGTTCGCACTCCGCGCAGCGATAGGTCTTCCCCTTATCGTCTTCAACTTCTTGAGATGATCTGCCAGGCGTACACAGCCCGCAGGACACTGCACCCTCGCGGCTATTGAGGAACGCTTGATTCCTGGCCAGTGAGAAAAAGTTGGCAAACTGTCGTTTTCCCCGCCGAAGGCAACAAACGAAAGGTAGCTAGACGTTTCACTTTGGAACGGCAATGTTTTGTGAGACACATGTTCAAGACCCATCTAACACGGGAATAGTTTCTATGTTTATGCTAACGGTTCTTTTTATGCTGAATTTGGGTGGTTTCTGTTTATATTTTTTTTTGCTGACGGTGCTTTTCTTGTGTGCAGAGTGTTTTCGTTTGTGCGAGAAGCTGCGAGCACCAGCTTCATCTAAATTTCACCCTCGGCTGGGTCACAAAAGGTATGCCTCGTTGGAGTGGCACATTCCTCCTCTAAATTTTACCCTCGGGTGGCTCACAAAAGGTATGCACTGTTGGAATGGCACCTGCCTCATCTAAATTATATCCTCCGGTTGCTCACAAAAGCTTTGCATCGTTGGATTGGCACATTTCTCCTCTAAATTTCACCCTCCGGTGGCTCGCAAAAGGTATGCACCATTGGAGTGGCAGCTTCCTCCTCTAATTACCCTTGGGTGGCTCACAAAAGGTATGCATCGTGGATTGGAACATTCCTCCTCCAAATTTTACCCTCGGGTGGCTCACAAAAGCGCTGCATTTCTGGATTGGAACATTCCTCCTCTAATTTTACTCTCGGGTGGCTCACAAAAGGTATGCACCGTGGGAATGGCACCAGTCTCATCCAAATTTCACCCTCGGGTGGCTCACAAAAGGTATGCAGCGTGGGAATGGCACCCGCCTCATCTAAATTTCATCCTCGGCTGGGTCACAAAAGGTATGCATCGTTGGATTGGCTCGTTCCTCTACTGAATTTTACCATCGGGTGGCTTACAAAAGTTATGCATCGTTGGATTGGAAAATTCCTCCTCTAAATTTTACCCTCGGGTAAAGTTTAGAAGAGGAATGCGCCAATCTAACGATGCATACCTTTTGTGACCCACCCGAGGATGAAATTTAGATGAGGCGGGCGCCATTCCCACGGTGCATTCTGTACTAAAACCCCCCTACAATTACTTACTACAACCTCCCGACAATTACGTTCTGTAGTAAAACCTCCCGACAATTGTATTCTGTTCCACAAATCCCCCGACAATTACGTTCTCCACTCGAAACCCCCGACAATGAATTACATCCTGCATTAAAACCTCCCGACAATTACGTTTTGTACCAAAACCTCCCCACGATTACAAAACCCTCCCGACAATTACAATCTGCATTAAAACATCCCGACTATTGCGCTTTGTACTAAAACTTCCTGACAATTGCATTCTATACTAAAACCTTCCGACAATTAGGTTCTGCACTCAAACCCCCCGACAATTACATCCTCCATTACAACCTCCCGACCATTAGATTTTGTACTAAAACCCCCGACAATTACAGTCTAGTACTCTCTCCCCACAGTACCGCATTAAAAAGGGAACCTTTTAATAAAAAAAAGTAACCGTTGGCATTGGCATAAAAAAGAAACCGTGTGCATTTAAGAAGAACTGCGTGCATAAGAAAAGAAACCGCAAGAATTAAAAAAGGCACTGCAAGCATAAAAAGGAAACCCTTGCCCCAAAACCACACCAACCCCGTTGTGCGCAAAAAAAACATCTCAGCATTAGAAAAGAAACACACCCAACCCGTCCAACACTATGAAATCATATACTGTTGAAAGGGATTCAAAAATGTGTTGTCCAGTTTTCAACCGTCACTGGTCACTGTGGTTTTTTTCAGGGACCGAAAGTGTCCACACTTGGATTAAGATGATGTTCAAAGGGTAGTGGTAGTAGTAGTAGTAGTAGTAGTAGTAGTAGTAGTAGAACTTGGGAAGGCAAGCGGCGACGTGAGATGACAGGATAAATTCCTCACAGAAGGTTAAAGGTTAGCCACTGACTGGCAACCCATGGCAGAAGGGCACAAGATCAAATGCAAACGTTGAAATTTAGCAGGGCCAAGTGAGCAAGGCTATGAATCTGCAATCGGGAAGGAAATAAGATGAGACATTTCTGGGATGTGGGAAGCTGGAAAAGGCCTGGCACACAGAAAGTTTAGGAGCAATTCCAAAGTTAGTTTGGAAGTCTTGCCTCCTGGGAAGGCTCTTCATTCACCTGCAACTGCTGGGAACACTTGGGAACTGAACAAATCTGATGCAAAAAAGGAATCTCCAATCTCTAGTTATATACAATGGGACAAACTGTAGTGTATAGCTTAAAGATCCAAACCTTCAAAACCCTTCAACCTGCATCGCCTGGATCATATGCTTGAGATTGAGTAGCTCTTTCCAGCTGGATGCTGGACATGGGAATTAAGTATAGCGAGGCCGTAGCAAGACACCGGATAATATACCCTCCACCAGCAAACACGCGAAACTGCCGACTGAGAAACCATGAGAAACTGCACTGACGTCTCAAAGCCTCCTTTCTTGAAGACAAGTGGAGACTTAAAGAATGATGAAAAGGGTGCCAGAAATTCAATGACTCTCCGACTCTCCTTGAATGATGAAAACCGAGCTAATCACATGTGCAGAACTGACTCTCTTGGGAGACCAAAAGAGGGTTCCGGACAATAGTATAGAGAATATGACTTACATTAAACTATAATATATATATATATATACGCAAAAGGTAGCATGTTTATGATAGGTTTAATTCTAGAACTTCACCGAGCTTCTCGTCCACCACTCCAAAGCCCTCAAGGCAATTGGTGTCATCGGGAATCCAGGCTTTCCAACCTCAGGACTCCAGGACACTAATTGATGGAATTGATTGGATTGTGTGAACTGGTTACACCAATTGTATAAATTCACAATGATAATGCCCAACCTCAACAATTGATTGTGTACATTATTCAAAAAATATACAAATCTCAGCACATACCATGTCGCAAAGGCAAAACAAGAACTGTCCTGCGTCGGAAAAGGATACCAAAATAGAAATTTAAAATCAAAACCTGTGGCAACCTGTGCAGTGCTGTGCCGAGTGGTCAAGTTAAAACCCCATGAGGTGTTTAAAACGTGCAAGGACTCAAAAAAAACCGGTTACTTTGGCAAATGTTCATATATACATCTTCATACATGTTCAATTGGAGGAAACAAACAAGGAGACAAGGCGGGCAAAGACAGTATTTCATCGGGCTTTGCACTGATTTTTGCTCAGAAACGGTCTTGATTCTCCTTGAGCCAGCGGCAAGCCACGTCGGACTTTGAGCCTGTCTGACGCCACCTGGACGTTGCTCAGTTGCGTCCGGTCTCGGAAGATCAGACATAGAGGTAACATAATGTGACATAATATACTAAGGTGAAATGACAAAGGACTTTCCCTGGCAAAGCTGTATGTCATATCGGACCACTTTGGCCTAAGTCATCTGACCCCAGTATAATCCACCGAAAACAACCACTTTTCGGACTTTGCTTAAGCCGTATGTTTACCCTAGGAGATCAGTCAGCCTTGCTCGCTTTGACGTGCGAGATGGCTCCTTTGCGGGTCTGTGCAGGTTCAATCGTTTGGTGCATGGGGAACGTTGATCAGATCGCTAGCGTTGTTGGATTCGCTTCACTCACTCCACAAGCTGTTGACTCAATCGAACTCTTGGCTGCTCCCGAATGTCTTTGGTCAACCCTCCGTTGATCCCGAAGCGTTGACTGAGATCCAAGAGTCTCTAGCAGCAGATCTTGAACCTCTGGCAGCCTGGATGCAACGGAAGCCGAAAGAAGCCGCAAAGAACCGACCAACAAAACGTGAAGCTGCTACAATCGCCTCAACTGCCTCCTTCAGCTTCAATGAAAGATGCAATAATAGGGATCAATAGGGTATAATCACACATTTAAACATACTAGGGTATAATTATCCCATTAAGAGGTTTCAGTGGATTATGATGGTTAGTAAAGACCTCGGTCGAAATCATTGAAGCTTCATGTCGAACAGTTTGTTCGGCTCAGAAAAGACAAAGTGAACCGGCATCAGAATTAGGCCTGTTCTAGTCTGGAACTGAGCATTTCTGTTGGATTGCTCAGGCTGTGGGCAAGATGAAGGTTGGGATGCTTCAACGTCCAAAAACATGGATTGTGATTATGATGTACTTGCTAATAACTGTACTTATGGCTGCAATCCCTCTCATGCAGCTTCTAAGACTCACTCTTCAGCAACCATCGTCATGCCAACCACCGAGTTGAAGCTAAACGGATGATGCTACCCGGTGCTACCTCTCATGGTCACAGGAGCTCAACAGAAAGATCGATACGATACTCAAGTTGCACGCAAAATACTGCAGCAAAATCACAAAAGTATAGAACCAGCTATTGATACCTATTGCGTGTGTTGAGGTTGCTTTGCCACGTGCCCTCCTAAAATTGAACGGTCTTGGCCCTTGCTGCTTCTCAAGCTGAACAGAACGCTGCCGGGACACTCGAAGTTGATCATCCGCACAAAGTTCTTCACCTTTGGGGCCTAGTCAGACGCCCAAGTTGCTGACCAAAACACAAGAAATTGGCCAGATTTGACGACAAAGAAGCTCTAAGAAACCCGGCTGGCCTTAGATTGCAAGTTTTGGCTGACCATCTTGGACACATAGCTTCCTTGACCTCCAGTCTTCTTGTCTCCAGCAAGCCATTCGTTTGCACTGTGTCGAGCAAAAACCAGCTGTTCTGGCAACATTTGAATGAAAGTGGAATCTGGAACCCACCAGTAATGTAAACACTGGAAAGTCCGCACATGCTTCAAAAACAAAGACCACGAGCCAGAGACTGCGAGAGCCGCTGGAATTCCGTAAGCCGTTGACCATTGCATCATGGGCTGTGCTTTCCAACCAGTCCCGGCCGTGAAGACAGGAATACATGTAGAGGCATTGCGACGGCACGCAGGGGCATACCACCAGCGGTCGTTGGTACACTTGGCGACAAATGTACCATCTGATTGGTTGACAACTCCATCGTAGTCGCCTGAATACTTGGCATAGTCCGACATCTGGTTCCGGTCGCTCAGGTCGGTCTCATTGCAGAGCGCCAACTCTGACAAGTTCACATCGTGGATGGAACCAAAATATTTCCTGCGAGTGTCGCATGATTGGCTCCACATGCGACTTGTCGGTCGGTCCAGATTCGACTATATAATACCTTATACATTGCAATAAATACATCATCACACAAAAAAAAAACACACAAAGCAAAATGGGAAGTTCATCATCAGACCAGTCTCTTTGGATCATGATGCGTAGTGTTGTAGCCTTTCAAGTACTGGCCAAACTCCGAGGAAAACAACAAAACATCAAAACATCATGCCCCGGAAACAACCCTTCCGAACAAATGACGTGGAAACGTGTTCTTGACACTGCACACTTGCAGTGATATACCAAGTGGCACAAATGGACCCATGCATTTGTGAACTAGTGTTCTGCTTTGAATACAACGTGAATGTGCTACAAACTGTGTTGCGACGGGGTGAAGTGACCGGATGACAGGCTGGCTGGGACTGGTGGACCAGAAAAGTCGATTGAATCCAAAATGGACCTCACAGGCGGAATGGAGAACGTTGCAGGTTCCGAGTCCAGTGGAAAGCATTCAAACATTTCTGACTTGGCCTATTGAGCCATCAACCCTCCTACTCTTCGCTGCGAAAAGTGACACCGGTGGCCCCTTTAAGAGAAAACCTGGAGGCTTTGAATAAGAAAAATACACTGAGACAAGCGAAGTAACTCTTGTAGAAGTCCAGAGCAAGACCGGATTCACTGTAGGCAGCTTGGAGAATCGCTCGGCTTACGTACATGGATTCTTCTCCTGCATACCCCATGCTCCCTAAATCCTCCGCCGCAAGTCTTGGATACTCCTTGGCGAACTGATTCTGAGTGGAAGCATAGCTTCCAATCCAAGAGTCCACGCTCACATGGATCGTCGTTTCTTGGACGCCGCAGACCCTGTTGTCTTTGTCGTTGAAGTCGGTACATCCTGCCAAAGCGAAGACTGGAGAAGCTCCATTCCCACCCACTGTAGGATCGACCTCAGCATGGAAACCAAGCACCTCGCGGATCATCAGCGCTGTCATGTGGATGAGAAGGGAGTTTGATTCCCATGCCATTTCAAACAGTCCGATTGGCATGTTGTTGCCGGCATCATCCTGAAGGCAGGGGTGAATGTTCATGGGTTGGTAAATCTGGTGGATCATGGACCATACGCAAAAAGTAAAATAAATGCAGCTAGGGAGAAAAAAACTATATGGATTTTGACGCAACTCTCCCTTCCTGGATGTACTCTCTCTGGCTTTCTGGCACGCCGTCAGCGAGGCAAAGCTCTGAGCCCCAACCCACAATCGGGCGTAGAAGCACCACTGCCAAACGCAGCGTTGCAGCCATGGAAAAGGCTCCGCTAATCGCTAATGAGCCGACTGACGGGGCCCAGGAATACCCAGGCACGGGCGAGCTCCGCTAATTACGGCTACACAAAGCTGAAGCCAAAAGGCTCAGTGGCGCCTCCGATCACCAACAATCCACCTATTCACGGCCAATTGCCTAGTGCTGTTACTAAATCCATCCCTAGTAGAAGGAGAGTATAACAAGACTCAAGACGCTGACCGTTTGATGCCAATTCAGGCTTCGGGATCGAAGAAAGGAGTTGCTCCTTTCAAGTTCCACACAGTGATCAAAAGCAACTTCAACTGCCAGCGACCCACGCTCCAACACACTCATCGGCCCGGCCTGGCCTCCAAACGACTCCCCCCAACGCCTTGCGACGTCCGCGCCGGCGACGGCACGGCCCGCGCAGACGTCCGACGTCCGACGTAATGAATATCACTTGGATGTTGTCTGTTAGAAGGGCTTTGTGTCTTTGAGATACCCAAAACACTATCGCTGCCAATGGTTCTTTTCCAAGAGTTGCTCGTGTCCACCTGTTTGATCCAGTCGTCCCAGAACGAACGGAACTCTATGCATCGTGAGAGACGTTCGGATGAGACGAGCCGATCGCACGCCGAGCCGATCGCACGTGCGAACCAGCGGGTTGCGCACAAACTGGCCATCTCCAGGTCCTTGGATGCCCTACAAATCTTTGGTGCCAACTCAAACATGTGGACGTATCAACCCAAAAAGAGTAAGCGGCAATGTGAAGAAGGAGTAAGTAAGGTCTGCCGAGGTAAAGCCCATCACAAGGGCATTGAGCACTCTGAAATAACTATGTGTCTTCACTCATTTCTAGACGGGTTTCCCCATCTCAGTCGCGGCCCGGATTTGTCAATCAAGGCAAATAATATATCAAAGTTGAGGCGGATACTCGGATACCGCAGGTCAGTTTCTTTGTCCTTAAATACTATAGGGCAAAATTTGCAATGCGTACCTTGTCATCTACCTTTCAAAAAAAGGGAACGACCGCTTTTCCTTCAAGGATTGGCACCTTTTGTTAGGCCTGCAGACATACTTCGCTGGAAAATCCATGAATGCTCAAAAGATCTAGCAGTGAAACTGTCCCAGGCTAACACAAAGCAGAAGTGCAACCAAAACATCATGACCCTGAACACAGGGACCTTTATGGTCCAAACGCTTTTTGGGGTTGCTTCGGAGAGCCGTGAGCAATATTTAAGGCAATCCACCGTAGTAGTGGCCTTCTCAGTCTCCAAAAGACGCGTGCAGAAGCGTTGTTTTTTCTTTGTTTCTCTTTTTGTTTAAAACCCGGAGGGGGATAGAAGAGGTAGTAGCTAGTAGCAAACAAATAAGCTTCTATAGGTACAGGACACTGCTTCCTTGAAGAAGCGCTCAGGTTGTCTTGGGAAACTTAACTGAGATCTATCAACTCCGCCGGAAACCCAAGGAGAAAACGTGTTTCAAACACTCGGCTGCGGCTAAATGGCGCTGCGTGCTCCAACATAAGTTCAAGTCTTCAGTTTCGCATCGTTGGTTGGACTTGGTACCCTCAAAAAGAATATTACTTTGAGGTGGGGGGACCTTCGTGAGAAAAGCCGCCAGTATAGGCATGTTCACGGGCTTTCTGAAGAATCAGTGCATGACGTACATGTCGATTCCCCGGGGAATCCCAAAAAACAACAAGCCGAACCCGGGAACCTCTCCGCTCGGCCACCGTCCGGCCACGTCCGGTCACGAACCACGCGACGAACCACGAGGAACAAGGCCGTGCGTTTTGGGTGCAAAACAGTGGCGCCCAAAGATGTTTATATGGTTTCGCTAGGCTTCACGGAGAATTTTAGAGGAATTGGATTCAATGTGCAAATTGTACACTACAAAAAAAGGAACAGGAGCAACAAGAGGCGCAACAAGAGGAAAATAGAAGAAGATTGTGAACGATCCACAAAGCAAGTGTCGTGAAAAGTTTTTTTGAAAAGTCCATGACCCCTGAAGGACTATATGTTTGGTCATCCGACCCTCTACAGACTTCATGTCGGGGTGCGGGGTGCAAAAATGGGAGGTGCAAGGAGAGTATGAAAGAGGGATCAACCACCCCACAATTAATGTCAATGCCTGGGTTTCTAGTCTATTAGTAGCAAGGACGCTATTAAGGTGGAGGCCAACGCTCCTAGTAGCAAGAAGCTTTCTTTGTCAACGCCTTGCTCCTAGTAGCGATGGCCTCCACCTAGTAGCTTGGGTTTCTAATCGGCCGGATTCACCTTGGGAGGCGGTTGGAAGGAGTCGGCAGATGACAGTTCCATGGAATCACTATCGGCCGATCAGTTTCGTGAAGGTGCGCAGGCTAAGAAAAACAAAGAAGTTACAGAGTCCAAAAGCTGGTTTTTTGGTGGTTTTCTCAATCCATTTGGATGCGTATGGGTCCTTCAGCCGCCTGCCCATGTATCGATCCGGTCGACCGAACCTGGACGGATCGAGAGACGGAGCCTGGCATGTATCGAACGGTCCACTTCGGTCGGTCTGCTTGTCACTAGCTGGTCTATGACTGTCTTAAGTGTCTTGGCAGGGTACCTTCATCCCTTCATCCCACCCAGGTATCCAAGTCAATTCGTGTACCACCACCTACCCGCCCATTTCAACTAGCAGAAATTGTTGACCAACTATTTGAGAAGGTGACTTGTCCCCTGAAAAAATTCGGGATTGGGACGGTTGATCCTTTTTGAGAGGCCTGTAGACATACTTCGCTGAAAAACATCTATGAATGCTCAAAAGATCTAGCAGTGTCTCTGTCCCAGGCTAGCAGTGTCTGCAGAACTGCAAGCAAAACAAACAACCAGCACAGCCTGCCAACAGGCATCCCTTGAAAATAAGGGGATCCGAAAACAGGGATTCATCGAGGAACCGGGCGACCAGCGACACCAATCACCTGATCCGCCCACCAGGAGACCCGACCGCCAAGGGCCCAGACCAGCGGGTGGAGCCGATGCTCGGGTGGAGCCGCGGAGCCGTGGAGCCTCACGTCGCTCACAGCCGGGGCGACCGTCCTGCATTGGGTTAGGATGCGACCGATGACCGTTTCATCCCACGCACCGGTTGTTTTCAGCCACTCTTTCTTACCATCCGTCCTCGCCTGTGGAAAACTACGACAGTAAGATAGTAAGACGATGTATGGATGATGGCGATGGCATCTTCCCTCACTGTCAAAAGTGGACCCCGCAGTCCACGACATGAAGGGCTTGGAGTTCCAATGCCAAAGAATGAGCTGCACCGACTCTGGAAGTGCAGTTCAAGAACGAAGCCACAGAATTGTGTCAACATCTGTCTATTCGACTTCGATTGCAAGCATTGGCCAATCCTGCCACCTTCAAAAAACATCATCCTGAAAATTCACGGTTAGCAGCAAGGAGAAAGCCAGCCGCGGAGCCGTGGCATGCGGTTCTGGCGCATCGTCGGAAGGAGGTCTTTGCCCTCCTTCTTGGCCTCCAAAGGCTGACCATTCGACCTATCAAGGCAAAAAGGTGCTGTGCATATTTCACCTAGATCTAGCCAAGCGTGTGCCGTGGCAACAAGGTTAAGCAATGACATTCCAAGTGAACCGTACATGATATGACAGCTAAAGGATGGCCACTCTGAATACGTAGAACATTGGCTCTTTCCAATTGGCTTATTATTGCTTTGCAGATCTGCTTGGTGTGCAAGCTGCTTTTCCGTGGTGTTGTTCTCGTTGATGTCCGTTTGGGTCTCAAAATGCAGGTCTGAAAGGCAGTTTTGAGCCTTGGGTGCATTGGCAAGTTCGCCTTTAGATTGAATGTGGAGGGTGTTCAAAAGTCTATTTTGTGCTGTCCTAGTAAATCCATGTAAATCCTAGTAAACCTGCATGATGATCCCTATCCTTACTTTCCATCCCCAAAGTGTCAAGTAGATTGCAAGTAGCCTGATGTCTGAATCGACACACAAACCTGTCAGATCCTAAGCCTTCACAGATCCCAAGCACCAGAGAAACCAAGTCAAACCAAAAATTCCACGCAGCTTCGGAGCGAACTCTGGGACAAGCAGTAACAGCCATCCTGACACTGGTCATCTGAAAACGTATCAACATCTTGCCACAGTAGTGTCCCAGATTCTTCCATCGCAGTGTCGAATTGCGCCTTCAAATGTTCAAAGACAGAGGCACGGTGAAGGCCCCGCGATTCGCCATGGGGCGTGCCGGCCCTGCAAAGATTCAAATCAGCTTCATCGGTTGGGTCGAGAACCACACCGTTTCTTCCCGCAGAACTAGACCTCACATTAAATGATAATGTGATCTATAGGACAACTGTAGGAACAGCAATCTTGGTACAATGGCCTCCAACCTAATAGCTGGGAAAAATCAACCTCTTACAACACTGTTGTCCAAGATCAACGCATCGGCGAGGCAGTTCAGGCAGATCGGCCGTTTCTCCCCGCAGAACTAGAGAAACCACATGTGATCTAGGACAACTGGGAATGGCGATCCTGCTGGTCTGGAAAAGTTCAACTTACAACTCAACACTGTTGTCCCAGATCAACGCGTCAGCGAGGGAGTTCCAGTTCCGTCAGGCAGATGCAGGCCAATTAATCTTAGCACGCCATCGACACGACCGGCATCCCTTCAGGGCGGTCGTCAGGAGCATGACGCTCATCCTTGGCTCGCAGAGTTTAGCCAGCATGGACTTAAACAGAAAGGAAAGGATGACTCAACAATCAAACTTTGACCGGGGAGGGCCTTGAAAGCAGGGGCTTCTCCATGTTGAATCGACTGGCTGGATAGGACACATGGCTATGAAATCAGCTAGAAATGGATGGTGATAAATGATAACGTCTTAAACCCAAAATAAAATCCTTCAGAGATACACATCAGTTTGATGTTGCATCAATTCGGACGGACCTATTTGCACAAACACTGTTGCCCTTAGCTATGCTTAGCTTTCCCCAAGATAGGCGGGTGGGTTCTACACCCAGCCGGGTCTAGCGCCTCCCGTTCCTATCACCCCCAGTGTGACTGTTAGGGGAAAGTAATGAGTTTATATACTCGGTTTTCTGAGTTGTCTTTTGTTTTCGGTTCAAAAGGGGCCCCCAGCATGTCCGTGTGTTTGTTCTTACGTAGTTGCCATGTCTACGGGATCCGAGTCGATCCGAGGTCAAGAATCACATGGACAAACGTTCTGCGGCAAATAGCCCCGTTCTGCATCCCAACGATCGATTTAACAACTAGACGACGGTTGGCCCGAGAGCGAGACATGTAATTGTCCAGCACTGTCGAAAAGATGTATAGAAAGAGAGAAAGAGAGGGTGGATGTGAAGGAGTGACAGTGTGGATGTGCAGGTGCGATACAGATCTGTAGATGTATGGAGGTGGAGAGGTAGATCCGTGGATGTGAGCGTGCGAAGATGTAAGTGCACACACAGAGACGAGAGAAAAGATATGTAGAAAGAAAGAAAAACAGGACAGATGTGAAGGAGCGACAGTGTGGATGTACAGATGTGATATAGATGTGCAGATGTGTGGGTGTGGTGGGGTGGAGAGGTAGATCTGTGGATGTGAGCGCGTGAAGATGTAAGTGTAGAGAGGTGAGGGGGTGTAGACGTAGATGCGTCGATGCAACGGCAGCGCAACGTCAACCTTAGTTGTGCAAGTACAACGCTGAAGAGGTTCAAATAGAACTGAAGAACGTACATTTCACACTGAAGTTTCCACGAACAGGGCGACCTGAGAGTAAACGACGTCACGATCATGACAAGCGACTCGTGTATTCCAAGCGAACATCGTTTGTCATGAAGGTGAAGTACACACATACTAACGTCACGATGACTCTTTTGTGGCAGCCACGTATGAGTAAGCAAACAGCAAAAATTCTGAACCTCTCAAGAGAGCCGGGCGGTCGGGATACATGACTCAGCTGCAGGGGCGCCAGAGCAGCCGCGAGAGATGACTCAGCCGCGAGAGATGACTCATCCGCGTACTAAAGTTGTACTACAAAGTCGCCAGTTCTCAGCTTCCAGCTCCACAGCTTGCTCCGCGTACTAAAGTTGTACTACAAGGTCGCCAGTTCTCATCTTCCAGCTCCCCAGATACTCCGCGTACTAAAGTTGTACTAGAAAGTCGCCAGTTCTCATCTTCCAGCTCCCCAGATACTCCGCGCGCTAAAGTTCTACTACAAAGTCGCCAGTTCTCAGCTTCCAGCTCCACAGATTGCTCCGCGTACTAAAGTTGTACTACAAAGTCGTCGTCAGTTCTCATCTTCCAGCTCCCCAGACACTCCGCGTACTAAAGTTGTACTACAACTTCGCCAGTTCTCATCTTCCAGCTCCCCAGATACTCCGCGTACTAGAGTTGTACTACAAAGTCACCAGTTCTCAGCTTCCAGTTCCACATACGTGTACTAAAGTTGTACTAGAAAGTCGCCAGTTCTCATCTTCCAGCTCCCCAGATACTCCGCGTACTCAAGTTGTACTACAAAGTCGCCAGTTCTCAGCTTCCAGCTCCACAGATTGCTCCGCGTACTAAAGTTGTACTACAAAGTTGCCAGTTCTCATCTTCCAGCTCCCCAGATACTCCGCGTACTAAAGTTGTACTACAAAGTCGCCAGTTCTCAGCTCCACAGATTGCTCCGCGTACTAAAGTTGTACTACAAAGTCGCCAGTTCTCATCTTCCAGCTCCCCAGACACTCGGCGTACTAAAGTTGTGCTAGAAAGTCGCCAGTTCTCATCTTCCAGCTCGCCAAATACTCCGCGTGCTCAAGTTGTACTACAAAGTCGCCAGTTCTCAGCTTCCAGCTCCACAAATTGCTCCGCGCACTAAAGTTGCACTACAAAGTCGACACGCACGATCTACGCAGAGGGTTGCGCCGGACCGGGCCAAAACGCACTCTCGCCTGCATTTCGCGCGCTCGACAC